ACTATGAATCTTGGCTATATGACAGGCCAGACCCATCTTTGAGAGACTCATTTTTGTATTTACAAAATATAGCGGTCCATGGTTGCTAAAAAGACCTATTGATTACAGAAGTAACCAAACTTCATTAGCACTTTTCTATAAGCAAAATTGAATATGCAAAACAAAAATAAAAAATAAAAAATAAAAGTTCCAAGTAATCTAGAAGTCCAGTCTCCAGCAAGACATGTAGGAACAAAAAGAGAAAAGATTAGATGGAGAGAAACCCAGAAGGCTCCCTAAATCCACCACCGGCAGCATCCAAGCATGCCCCATCAGGGCAGAAAGTGGGAAGGTGATGGAGATGTTGTTTCTTGCAATGTAATTTCTCGACTAAAGTATAATTAAAATTTTTGTGTGATATAAAAGAATGATACCTGGAAGCAACAAACAAACCATCGAATTTGGCAATCGGTGAACACCATGCCTGTCAAAGGGAATGACATCCCCATTATTATTGCCATTAACATGAAAAGCAGATATTAAATGCAGAACAAAATACAGCATATTACACCTGATATCCCCCAGAATTTCCATGAACCTTTCAGTTCCGTCTTCAACAGGGGGCATTGTTGGATCACGTTGTAGCCATCCTATATCATCTGCAGACCCGCGAACAGTTCTTCGCACCCGGTCAACAAGGCTGAAAATGAACACAATCATTACCGCTAATTTTGGAAAGTGTGAACGCTGCAGGTAGCAAGAATCTCAGAGAAAAAACAAGCTTAAAGATATACCATGGAAATTCTTTTGGTTTAGTTTCAATCTAGGGCCCACAAGGCATCCCCCATAGACTACTCTAGTAACCACTGCTGCCATGAGTCATATTCCTATGTTTCTTCGCATTAGGAGACAAGCTTTTCGAGCCAAGAATATTTTGGTGGAATTGCCAACTGGGACATAATTGGAACTAACGGTTCATCAGCATGGTTCCTAATAAGGTTCATCTCATACTACTAATGTTTCATGGTTTCTAAGGTTATGTAGTTTTCATGGAGAGAAACAATTCCTAGAAATTTGTCTTCTCTTTCTTTTTTGGTTGTTATTCATACCTCAAATCACTGTAACCATAACTAACATGCATTTCTTTAGATGACAATAAACAACCCTTCCCTGTATGATTTTCTGAGTTTCTTGCGGTATAATCGCTATCAAGATACATCATTTCCAGGTCAAAGCTTTTTTTATTTCCCCCTGAGAATTTCATTTATTTATGGCTGCGAGTTGTGCTGATGGTTAGTACATAGGCTCTTCCAACAAATTTGTTTTACTCTATTTGTAGCAATCTGGGAGTTGTGGATATCCACTTTCCAGCAAGAGGGGGAGTGTCATTAATATAGAATGTTTACAGCCTGTAAATTGATTTAAGAGTTGACTATCTTGAATAGCTTAATTGTTGTCTGATTAGCTCAGTTACTTAATACTAGGCATTTGTGTTGCTGATTTTGTCTTGGAGTCCTACATAATCCTTGATGTTCTGATGTCTTAGCATTGCCATACAATGTTCTTCTCTTCAACTAAGTTTTCTTCGGAAAAAAAATTGCCGGTCTGAAAATACTAAATTTCAGTTCAAGAATGAATTTTAAACTCATATTAATTATTGAAGGATAGCTCCAAAAAACACTAATAAGTAGTATGCTGGGAACAAATACCCTTGAAAGATAGAAATGCTGCCCGGGCCACTAGGATCAGATTTGACGAGGGCACTAGAATTTCGAGATGAATCTCCTGCAGAGCTTCTCAGTGTTCCATCAAGTACAGAGGGAGCATCTGTTGCATTACTAGATGACTCTGCAGATGCTGAGTGATTTCCACTTGAGGACGCATGATCACCAGATGTAGCAAAAGATCCCCTAGGTTGTCCAGATGAAAAGGTCACCAATTCCTGAGCATGCTCATTTGAAACCCCAGAATCACTAGAAGACAGATCTGCTGCAAAATAGCAGAGACATTTAACTAGATCAATCTAAGATCCAATGCTCATGACAACTCAGAAAAATAGATGCACGCAAGTAAAATATAAAATTCATAATAATCATAAGTTAATAATTAGTAAGGAAAAATGAAAAGAAAACTACATAAGGGACATGAGAGAAGCTTATTTCAAATGCGCCACATCATCAAATTCTACTCAGAGATGCGAGTAAGGTTGAAAGGACTCAGATGAAAAAGGATCGATTACATTATCTGATCTAACTTTAAATTAGAATTATGCTCCATTTCAAGTTTCAACAAGTGACAAAAATGGAAAAGGAAGATACCTAGCAAAAATATTCATGCTGAGGTCTGCAGATAATATACGAACTATGCTAGTCAAATGTCTTATAAGGCATGTACTTCTGCAAAATACAGTTTCATTCTCCAGAGAAAATTATATTCAAGTAGTTTGGTTGATCTTGTATGATATTAATGTCGGCATGGTAGAAACTAGTAAAACTAAGAGAACTGTACTTAGGTAAATACCAAAATAATAATAATAATAATAATCCAAACTAATGGAAGTGTAAAGAGCGAAGCTATTACGGGTAATAACATGCATACATTTCCAGGTTAATACATCTGATAACCAACTCCCAACCTCCACATTAGTCACTTCCACAACAGGCTAGGTAAATATAAAGAAGGATAAACAAGAAAATAAAAAACTGAAGCAATCTCCATATGGAACAGTATGATTACCAGAATAGTCAGAGAAACAACGTGTGAATAATGAAGTTGTCTGAGAAAGATAAGAGGCAGCTTCGTTGAGAGATGGTACAGAAGTAAATAGCTGAGGGATGACCCCATCATTTCTTAAAGTATCATTCTGAGCCTGAAAAAACAGCAGCTGTTAAAAATGAGCAAGGAATTACATTTGGAAGTTTTTCTTTTACGTAACAATACGACATAAAGAAGAAGTGCAAATACAGAGGACATCACCAAAGCTCGATAATTGGAAGTATTAAAAAAAAAAGGGAAAAAAAAAATGAAGGGGGTAAAGATTTGCCAATTCCATGAAGAGATTCATAATTTTTTTTTATACAAAAAGTCGAAGTGAAATACACAATCAGATTCAGGCCACAAAACCCATTGGTTGCATCGTCTAATTTTGTAATTTCTTCATACATAAGGATAGAGATTAGACACAATCAGCAACTGGTACCCCAGAGTCCAATAACAATGCTTGCTAGAAGCTAGTATTGGTGCTTTGAAATAATACTATATTCTCGTAAAACTACACTAAAATAGTTTATCAAAATCTCAGGAAGATCAAAACGTTTGTAATATAATTATCATTCTCCTTCCATTGCACAAATAAACATGAGCTAAGCTTTCAAAATGTAATTCTTTCTGCGAAAATATTAATTAAATCACTGTAAAATTAAACAATTTGAATGCTACAAGAGAATGATGGGTACCATCAACGGTGCGGATTCGCTGGAATTGGGGTTTGCATCTTGCATTATAGACCTCAGTTTCTGCCAAATGCAAGACAAAAACATAATAATACGTTAGCTTTCAATGCAAATTCAGGCGCCTAAAAAAACCAAAAAATTAGAGATTACAGAAAATGTTAGAGATCGCGGTGAAATTAATTTACCTGGATTAATACTGCGATTGAGAATCAAATGAAGCGTGGACGAATAGAAAGAATCACCATTGAAGTGGAATTAGGGTTTTGGAAGATTCAAATCATCAAGTTTTCTTCTCCAACGGAAGCACACAGAGAGAGACAGAGAGAGAATACCTTAACGGCAAAGCAAAAGAACGCGGCACGGAAACGAAACTACGTCGTTTTCGTTGACTTCCGGAGTTTTCGCGGCACCGCTACTTTGTAGATTTGCGTCCAGTGGTTTGTTTGGTTAGAATGATAATAAGTGAAAAGTATAAGTTCAAGTTCATCCAAAAAAAAAAAAAGTATAAGTTCAAATATAAATTAAATTATGGCATGTTTACTAATCTGATACCGATTAGGAGGAATTGAATTGATGGCATGTTTACGTATCAGTAATGGAGAAAGTAAGGAATTAGAGAATTCAGGAATCGGAGAACTATTGAATCGATATGGGAAGAATCATTCCTGATTGCAAGTAAACACAAGGGAAGTTAGGAATGGAAATCATTCCCTTTCCTCTCATACCCATTACTGATATTAAACATGCCCTGAGGAGAATTAGATTCCGGATTCTTATTGAAGTTGTTTACTGAACCATATGGATTGAGGAGAGTTAGAATCCGAATTCCTATTGAAGTTGTTTACTAAATCATACGGAATTGGGATAGGGGTTGTACTAATTACTAAAATATCCTCGTTGTTGGGTTAAAGTATATGGCAAATTTGGAAATTTTAAAATGGTGTGAGGATATAATGGGTAAAAAAGATGAATTCTTGACGGGTTAGTTCTTCATGAATTAGAATACCACCTCCCACCCCAAGAATTGAATTACTCCAAAATGAGGAATTCAATTCCTAATTTTTTGTGAGTCCTACTTACTTTTTTTAATTCCTTAATGTGAAGTAAACACAAGAATCCTTTATAATTGGAATTCAATTCATTATTCGAATTCCAATTCTTGATTAGTAAACACACCATCAATTTTTAGATGGGATGTGATATTCTAATTCTTGGAGACGAGAAAAGGAAGGAGGAATCCTCCAAATTAAAACATTAAGTCCAAAAACAAATGTTGGTTGTTGTAAAAAAATTATTGAAATATGCTATTTTGGAAATTAAAGGGTGAAGACCAATTAAATTTTTAGACTTTTAGTAATGAAATATTCTTAGAATGAAAATCTGGCCGCTAGAAAATGAGTTGATTTTTACTATATTTATTCCACTATGCTTCAATTGTTTAAAAAAAAAAATTAGAAATGTTTATAACTTAGACTAAATAGCGAAAAATGATGAAGAAAAAAATGTGCTAGAATCAGAATAGGTTAAGAGTTCGATCCTTTCCAATCCCTTATAACCGAAAAGAAATGGTTTCGTTGATAAATGATTAGCAATAAATTGCAGTGGAATTCATAAATTTCATGTCACAGACCACAAGCTACATGTGAAGGCCAATTTGATTTTGGCTACATATCTCTTTCTCCATTCCATTTCATTAAAAATTAAAATGACCAAATTAACTCAGAATCTTAAATGCAATGTAGCATGGTAACCATTGATCCTCTTACAGGCTGCGCATGAGGATGCCTTCAAATGTAATTCCAGGGCCAAAAGCTAAGGCAAGCCCCCATTCTTCCCTCTCCTCCTTCTTCTTCTTCAACTCCTCCCTCATATTCTCCATGACATAGAAAATGGTGTTGCTGCTAACATTTCCATAGTCCATCAGAGCCCTCCTGCTGCACTCTAGCTTATCACTGCCCAGCTTGAGGGTGCTCTCTAGCTTGTTAAGAATGGCAGGTCCTCCTGGATGAACAGCCCAGAACAACTCATTGAAGTCCTTCAATGAAGCCTTGGCCATCAGCTTCTTGCAAAACTCCTCAATGTTTTCGTCAATCTTCTGAGGCAGGTCCCTTCCAAGCTTGAAGTTAATGCCTTCCTCTGAGAGCCTCCCATCAATCACATTGTGTGTGTCAGGGAGGAACTGCTGGACAGCATAGTTGAGCTCCATGAAAGGAGTCTCTTGGCCTGGTTTTGGGTTGCTTCCAACGATCACAGCTGCAGCTCCATCACCGAAAAGCGCAGCCCCAACAAGATCGTAAGGGCGTGCCTTGTTTGGTGGCCTGAAACCAAGAATTGTGGTCTCAGAAGTGGTTAACAAGACCCGGCTTCCCGGGTTGTTTTCAGCTATGTCTTTGGCAACCCGGAGGCCGGTGACTCCACCATAGCAGCCTAGGAAGTAGAGCATAACGCGGCCAACGTCGTTCCTCAGGCCAAGCTTGCTGGCAAGGTAGAGGTCACCACCAGGTAGTCTGATTTCACTTGAGGAGACATAGACAATGTGAGTGATGTCTTCAACTGGCCTACCCCATTCCTTGATGCAAGAAAGGCTAGCTTCCAAGGCCATCTGTACCACTGCAGGGTTTGCAATTTCAAGCCTTTGTCTGATGGTGGCTGAGCCCTCAGTTGCTAGTTCAGGGTATTTGTCTAGGATCTCCTTGGACATGACTGTGTATCTAGTCTTCACAGTTGTGGTTTTGCCTAGCAAAAACAAAAACAAAAATGAAGAGAAAGATAAGCATGGTGAGTCTTGCCCCTTTCAGAATATCGGGTAATGTTAAACGTACCACATTAAAAAGGAATTACATTAGCTAGCTGATCACTTAATGTGTATGATATTTACTTATTATGTAGAATTATTTGGAGTATATTTATTGACAACATCTCTAGTAGAGGTGAAACTCATTTACATAGGTGGCGGTCGCCAATGAAATCAGTAAATAGGATACGAATAGTTTTGCGAAAAAGTAATTTAGAGGGCAGCCAGCAAGTAAAGAGATGAGTTCTAAGAGATTCAAGATAATAAAACACAAATAATTTTGCTTACACAGTCGTTCCAATTTCTCCTTAATGGCAACATCTACACATTTGGTGTCACGAATGTAGCCCTCCACCAAGCAGTCCTGAGGGACCAGTTGGCTTGGGAAGGCCTTGCCCAATGCAAGGACTGTTGCCTTCCCTGGTGTAGGAGCATGCCTACTTGGTGCATGGAATTGCTTGGAAGAACCATTAGCGCCATTGCTTTCGAGCTTTGACATCTTTAGGATGATGATGATGAGGAGAAGGAGTAGAAGGCTTAGCAATGAAATAGTCTGAGTTTGTTGAAAGTTGAAGGCATGTATATATGGGGGAACTGGGCTTGGTGTTGGAGAGGAGTTGGTTTCAAAGGAGATGAACATGAAAAGAAAGAGATGCCTACTTTATTATGGTTTGGTGATTTTATGGGTTTCTTGGGGGAGTTAGGAGTGTGACTGTTTCAAGGGGAAACAATCTTCTCCTTTTGTTTGGTAAAACAATGAATGAAAAGTTGAAACCCAATGGTTACTTACTTTCTGCTTCAAAATTATGAATTGTAGAAAAAGGGTTAGAATAGTCCACTGCAAAAGAAAGGAGGAAGATCTCTAGAACTGGTACCACCAGAGAAAAAAAGAAAAAAAGAAAAAGAGAGAGAAAAAAACAGATTGAGAATAGGTAGCAGAATTTCCTACTTGTTCCATGTTAAAATTGCCCTTTAGCTAACTTATGAATTCTCCAAGTAAGCCAGCCCATTTTTGCAGGTTTAGTAGATCTAACTGTCTGATCTAACTGTGAATACCCTTCAAAACCATTTTAATTTTGTAAGAAAAGATTTCAGTTCACTGCAAATGAAATCAATAGTTCAGAATTTGTAGATTAATTTTGTAAATTATTTCCTAATTAGTAACTGATAATAGTCCCAAGTTTGTTTGATAATTTTCAAAACCACTTCTTCTGAAAAGGTTCATTTTTAAATCCACTCATTCTGAAATCTTTAAAAAGTGAGGAATTTATTAGATTCCATATGCACTCTTTACACCTTATGACACTTCTGTTTTCCTGTTGGTTGTCAACCAGGGAAAAAAAACCCTCTTAAATGATCAAATTGATCATATCCCCTTTTCATTTTTTCAGCTGAATTGTCCCTTTTTCTCCTTCAACCACCCCCATCACATTATTCAAGCCATTTGGAGCTTTTTGTCATTTGCTTTTCCATCCAGGCTTCGGTTGTCTGTTCAGGATTGGGTACATTCTAGTTAGAGCTTTGCCACTTAAAAAGGAAAAAGGAACCAAGAGAAAAGCTTGCTGCAAAGCTACATTCTCTTAAATCATCTGTAACAAAAAAGGAAAGAAAATCTCATAAACCAACCGAAGAGATCGTTTCGACGGAACCAACTAAGTAAATAAGATCCACCATTCTTCCTGTTACAGAAGTTCATAAATCTGATTCACAAAAGGAATGGAAAAGAAATGTAGTACAACAGCTCCCAGCTTAATAACCAAAACCAGGTGGTAGAAAATCATCTACTTCTGCAGAAAGGCACAGATCATATTCTCTTCTTTGTGGTGCTTATAGTTTTCCTCTGTTCAATAATCAACCCATATAAAAGTTCATCAAAATATTTTTCCTAAATTGATACAGCTAACCTTGGACCAAAATACCTTCAAAACTTCACTCAAGTTGGAGTTCAACCCTAACTTTTTTCTGTCTCTACATGATACCCTCCCTCCCTTTCAAAATCACCCTTGAATTTATATTCCAAAAGCCTGATATCATCTCCTCTCAAAATATTTTCTGATCAAGAACCCAACCCATTTTCAAAACTCTCTCAAACAATCACACTTTCTCTCTCATTGCCTCTCTCTCTCTCTCTCTCTCTCTCTCTGCATCACAACTTTATTGCCACTCCGCAAATTGAGAATCCATGACCTCAGGTTGTCATGATTCACCATCTCTCTCTCTGATTTCACTCCACAATTCCCTTGCCAATATATCCATTTTGTGTTGCACTGCACTTCCCAATCAGTGGTCATTGATTTTGTTGTTCTTGTAGTTTGTAATGGGTATGTATGAGTTTGGTTTCAAATGAGCTTTGGACTGCAGACGGACTGTATATGCTCCAATGGTTGAGATGTGGGGTCAGGGTGAAATTGACACGAGGGATCGAATAAACGCTGAGAAGAAGTGGTATGAGGGGGGCAGCAACAACTGTGTATTTACAAGGCTGAGATGTGATCGAGGAAATCTTAAAAACCCACCATTTAGCAGCAAGAAAGATATGTACAGCAGCTGAGGTCTTGACTTACAGTTGTAGTCTTGACTTCCCAGATTTGTCCAGCAGCTGCTGTCTTGGAATCCTTTTAGATAGAAACTCAGCTTCAACTGATCTTCCTGCAACCTCTAGGGCAGATTTTAGAGAATCTAAGCAGGGCAATTGCTGATAGCCTTTATTCTCAACCAGTTCATAGTACAAGCCAAATGCTTCTGAAAGTTTATTGATATCACAAAGCCCTACAATAACTTGGTTAAAATTATCAATATCGACACTTTGATGCTTCTGCAGACTGAATTGCAACATTTCACATGCCTCTAAAAGCTTTCTACTTTGGCAAAGGAAACAAACCAGTTCTTCCATTTTAATTGAGTACCCATTCTCATAGAGCATCCCTGCAATCTCAAATGCTTTATCTCGCAACCCACTACTGAAAAGTAGCCTTATAAGATGTGTTGAGAGATTAATGTTTTGTCTAATTTTTTTCTCCAACATTAAAGTGACAAAACTGGCAGATTCACGGGCACAATGCTGTTTCAAAAGTTCTGCAAGTAAAGAATGGAAAGTAGACGTTTGTGGGAGATGAGAGCTCTTTAGCATCTTCTCTAGAGTCTGTTGGGCAAGAAGGGGCTTACCCTTCTGCAAGAGGCCATCAATCAAGGATCCATAAATCTCTTCATCAGGCACAAAATCCCTTCTAAGCATCCAGACTAAGAGTTCATACCCAGCTTCATATGTACCTTCCTTACAATTCCCCATGATCAAAGTCTTGTAGGACAGAGGGTCTTGTGTTCCTCTTCTCATTAGCTGCCTAAACACTTCCTCAGCCTTCTGAGTTTTCCCATTACTAGATAAATACCCAAAGATAGGGTTATAAGAGGCAACAAGAGGCTTACAACCATCATCCCTTAACAAAATTTCTTTCTTTGATAACTCATCAAACAACTCCTCTGCTCTAGGGTAATCCCCTCGTTGACATAAACTGCGTATCAAAACACTGTATGTAGCTGAATCTGGTGGAACCTTTAACTCTGACATCTTTGCAAAAACCTTCAATGCTTCATCCAAGTTTCCTGCATTGCAATGTGAATGCATCAATGTGTTGAACGTACACGTATCCGGAGTAAATTCTCCACCAATCATTGTTCCTTCCAAAATCTCTTTTATCTTATCTAGCTTCTGCGCTTCACAAAGCCCCTTAATTAGAGTATTGTAGGTAAATCCATTTGGTTTTAACCCTCGAGTAGTCATCTCCTCCAAAATACATAAAGCCTTGTCAATCTCCTGTTTCGCACAATACCCTCTAATCAAGGTCGTATAAGTAACAACATTTGGAGTCAAATCCCCACTTCTCTTACTCATACCCTTCACCACATTATGGGCAATTTCAACCTTCCCTGCTCTACATAGCCCGTCAACAAGAGTATTATAGGTAATGACATCCGGGTCACATCTAAAACCCGACATATCTTTGAAAAAGCGATAACCTTCATCTACCATGGAGTTCATACAAAACCCTCTAATCAAAATGTTAAATGTATATGTATCTGGGGTCACTCCATACATACTGAGCATTTCATCATACACATTCTTGGCCATATTTGTCCTACCCTTTTTAAGCAAAATCGACAGAAGACTATTGAATGAAACAACAGAAGGCGATACACCAAGCGACTTCATTGTAGTAAAAAGCTTTATAGACTCTTGGAACAGCCCAGCTCGGCCATAGTTCCTTATTAAGCTATTAAAGAAGCGGTCCTCAAGTTTAACTGCACCATTAGACGTTTTTTCAATTGAAAACAATAAATTTCGTGCTGCATTGAGATTTCGGGCTCGACCCAAGATTTCAAGCATCAAGAAGTAGGATTGGTCATTGTGAGAGAAACCCTTTACCTCTACCCACTTAAAGAATTGAAGGGCTTTGTGCGGGGTTTTGATAAGGTGAAGTGTTTGGTGCACCGTGGTCTTGGAGAGAGAGGAAGAGATTGTAGAGAGAGAAGATTCAAGCTCACTCGACCATGGATTGGTGTTGACAAGCCTGGCCATATCCTTAGCCGTTTTGGTTTTTGGGGTTGACGATTTGGGTTGTTTAGCTCTGTGCTGTTGTTCATCATTCTCATTATGGTTCTCGGTTTTCTGAGAAGAATAGCACCTGGGTTTTGACGATTGTTCAAAAACAAGCAATGTAAAAAAAGGTGAAATTTGTGTTTGCCTAGTGAGAAAATGTAGGAAAGGAAATCAAATTGAAGTTTTAGAAGGCGCACCTGAGAAAAGAAGCAGGCTGAGAATTGGACTTGAGGCTGGGACAGAAGAGTTGCTTTCTGAAGACTGCTAGTCCTTGACCCTGAGAAATGGGATTCGCGGCCATGAATTAATTTGTGGTTTCTTCCGAAGCTTTTCTTCTTACAGAAGTAGGGGTGGGCATCAATCCGGTCGATCCGGTTACACCGGCCGAACCGATTATATTGGTTTGGTTTGGTTTGGGTTTGACCAAAGAAAAAGTCAACAGTTTCAAAAACCGATCCGAACCGGTTTGGTTTGGTTCGGCTGCGGTTTGAGCATTTTGTAAACTGTCCTAAACCGAACCGGACTGATTAAAAATAAATTTATTATTTGTTAAATATATTTTACATGTGGCAAGGCTTGAGTGGTTCTTTGTAATTGTTATCATGCACCATACCGCACATGATTGGATTCCAAAAGCCTGAAAAATTCATCCAAAACTAAAACTCACGGATCAGTCTTTCTCAACCTCTCTCACATTTCTCTCAGCCTCTCCTTCATTTCCTAACCCTAGCCGCACACAACACTCACTCACTACTCTCATCTCATCACATCATTCATCTCCATCTTCATCACCTTTGGCAGACAAGGTCATCACCTTTGGCCTCTTCGTCTCTCCAGTGTAACCTCTCTCTCTCTCTCTCTCTCTCTCTCTCTCTCTCTCTCACAC